GGGGGGGGGTGGCCAGGCTCCGGGCACGGCCCGGGCCGCCCCGGGGCACCCGCCGTCATGTGAGGGCTGTTTGCACCGTCTCAGACCAGGCCCCGGGGGGGGCGGAGGGGGGGAAGACTCTGCCCCGGGCCCAACAGCAGCCAAAGTTCACCTGGAAAAAAAAAAAAACCAACAAACCACCACGAAGCACAGCTCCAGCACGGGAGGGGGCAAGGACGCAGGGGCACGCGGCTTGCCGAAAGCGAGACACAGCCACAGTGCGTCGGGTGAGGCGGTCCTGCGCCCACCATGGCCCTGGCCCCGCCAGCGTGGGACACAGGTTGCCGCCGTGCGTGGGGTCTCGCCACCATGCGTGGGGTCCGGCTGCCGTGCCCACCCGGCCCTGTGGGGCCGCAGAGCCACCCAGCAGCCCTGAAGTCCACCCAGCAGTCCTTTTCCCCCCAGGCCCAGTCTGCGGCCTCCTATGGATGCGGATCTGGCACGGGGGGGCTCTCACTGGCTCCGGGCACGCCGTGGCGCAGGCGAGAGGTGCGTGGTGTAGCAGTGCGTGCAGACACGCACGGGTTTCAGCTGGCCGTAGTGTGGCAGCGCCGCGGCATGCGGCGAGCATCGGGCACAGAAGATCTGCCGGGAAAGGGCCGGAGTGGGGCTGAGTGGAGCTGGGCCCCCGGGAGACCCCGCGCACCCCAGCCCGGCCCACTCCTACCTTCCCGCAGCTGCGGCAATGGTGCCGGCGGCGCAGTAGTGTGAAGGGCGAGCGGCAGGCAGAGCACTGGCTGCATGTGCTGTCCGGCACCCACTCAGGCAGCTGGCAGGCACCTGCTGGGCAAAACACATCGGTAAAAGCCCCCCACCCTGTCCCCCATCACCACGCCAGCCCCGGGAACATCCCCGGCCCCCTGCCTGGACCCATGCTCCTGGGTGTCCTATGGCTGCTCTGCTGAGCCAGCCCCAGGCAGGACATGGCAACTGTCCCTGCATGCCTGAGGCTGCCCAAGGCAGCCGGACTCCCCCCACCAGGCAGGATCAGGTCAGGATCAGCCCCAGCCTCACACCCTGCCCCAGAGCCATGGCACCCCGGGCAGCCCCTTACCTGCCCTCCGGAGCCCGGCAGCCTCCGTGGGGCTAGAGCACAGGGGGCAGTCGGCCACACGAGGAGCATCCGCTGTACATGGGTCACCGTCCTCTTCTTCTGCGGGGACAAGGTCTGTGGTAGTCCAGCCAAACCAGGGCTGGGCTCAGCCCCGTGGGGCTGGACACTGTGGCCACGTTGTCCCCATGCCTGGGGCTGCGGCCTCGTCTCACCAGGGACAGGCGATAGGCAGGGCAGAGAGGAGCCGTCCCTCATGTCCCCAGGGGTTACTTACGGCTGGCACTCGGCTCCTCCGAGGACTCTGCCTGCGAGGCGACAATCTTGAAGACCGTTTTCAAGATGCTCCGCAGGTCACTGGCAAAGTTGGTCTGGAGCTGATCGGCCACCCCTGCACGGGGAGGGTGGGGGGTCAGGGTGCTGGGGGTGGGGTCAGGGTGCTGTGGGGGGTGGTGAGGGGGTCACTCACCCGAGATGCAGACAAAGAGGGTGTGCAGCATGTCCTTAGTGCTGCTGTAGCGGGAGCGCAGCTCTAAGCAGCGGGCACCCGGGGTGGCATCAAGCCCCGTCCCTGGGCTGCTCTCGGGAGGCTGGAGGCTGCACAGGAGGGAGGTGACAGTTACCCCAGGGGTGGCACAAAAAGTCCCCTTCCCAGTGGGTGGGGATCTGCCACCTTGGCCCCGCTCCCTCCCTGCCACACACCCCCATTGTGAGTTGGTGCCCGGGTTGTCCACTGCACCGGGGGGTCCCGGCTGCGTCGTGCAGGTGGGGGGTGGTGGGGTGGCATGGGCGACCTCCAGCAGACCCCAGGGAGCAGGGGGGTCTGCTCTGGGCATGGCTGCCCCCCAGGCTGGGGAGGTGGCTGGAACGCAGGAATCCTCCAGTTCGGCTGTGCACAGGCTCCTCTCCAGCAGGCAGAGCTCCTCTGCCGACAGCACCTGCAGCAGGTCCCTGTGGCAAGGGGATGGTGTCAGCCCCACGTCATGGCCCCAGTGTTGCCCCACGGCCCCACCCACGGGTGCCCATCGCCCCCCCTGCCACATACCTGATCCTCTTCAGGAGGTTGTAGAAAGGGCTGAAGACCTGGGACATTTGCTCAGGGCTCCGCTCCAGGCTGAGGGGACCCTCGGGGTAGATGAGGAGGCCACTGCGAGGGGACAGAGCCCAACTCACATCTGGGGGTTGCCCAGGACCCCATGTCTCCAGGGGGAGAAGGGGCTGCTACAGGGCAAGGAGCACCCAGCCAGCCATGTTCACCCCCTTCTCCAGGGGGCTGCACCCACCTGATAATGGCCAGGCGAGGGATGGTGAACATCAGCAACGGTTCATAGCCATCGATCATCTCCTGGGTCAAGTAGCCCAGGCGCAGGGCTCTGAGGGGACACACACCCTTACAGTGGGGCCAAGCCCCGGGACGCTGCCCTACCCCTGAGGCTGCGGTCCCTGCCACCCCCGGCCTGGCGCATGGTGCCCCTCACCTCTCCACCGTCTCACAGAAGAGCACAATGATCTCTTGCTGCCTGTAGATCTCCTCGGGAGACTTCACTGCCACCAGCGAGGACACATAGCTGGAGAGATGGGGGGACTGTGAAGCTCCTCCAGCCCTGGCACAGCACACCTCCCCCCAGCACCCTAACCCTGGCCCCCACCTCAGCTCGAACTCCGCGAAGAGCCGGTCGAACTGGATGAGCACAGCCCGGACGGGCTCCGGGTAGGAGCCGGGCTGGCTCAGGCTCTGCTCCCGCAGCACTGTCCGCACCAGCTCCAGGCTGCACAGTAGATTCCTGGCCTGGGGCCGCAGCTGTGCTCCGTCCACCTCCTCCACCTCCAGGAAGGTCCCAGCCAGGAGACACTACCAGGACCAGGGCAGCCATCAGGAGCCAGCGCCTGAGGCAGCGCAGCCCCTACCCCCAGGGCCAGCCCATGGCGGGGTGTGCCATCCTGGCTGGTGCCCATTGCCCCCCAGCTTGGGGGAGCCAGACGCCATCACCCACCCCAGGACGGCATCCCCAGGCTCACCTCGGCGGCAAACAACATGTGGTTCCCCAGGCTGTCCACCAAGAGTTCCTCGGGGAACTTGACCAGGTAGTCACGGCTGTGCCGCTGTGTGGGAATGCACTCCTCCATGATCCGCTCCAGGACGGCCAGCAGGTGAGCCTGGGGAAGGCAGGGATGTCACCTGCGGCCACCCAGGTGTCCAGGGTCACAGCGGGGCCCAGGCTGCCCCCATACCTGGCTGAGGTGGAGCTGGTTGAGGAGCACCAGGTACTGCTGCGGGTCCAGCTCAGCATCCAGCCCGTTGATCTCGGCCACCACCCGCGTCACCCTCTCGTCGGCAAAGAAGAACTGGGAGAGCAGGCGGGAGTCGGAGCGCTGTGGGGAGAGCAGAGGGGTGATGGTGGGAGCACCCCACAGCTCCGGGTGCTGGGCCAGGGGGAACCCAAATCTCCTGTGCCCACAGCCAGGCAGGGCGGGGGCTGCTGGGGTTTGGTCCCCTGCAGCTGGTCCCTGTGGGGCAGCCCCGGGTCCACGAACACACACTCAGGCAGGTATGTGGGACCCCCATGGCGGCTCCAGCTCAGCCAAGCTGTGCCGGGGGCAGGCAGCCCCCAGCCGAGCCCTCCCGGGGAGCGCCGCCGTCCCCACCCACCCGTGCCTCAGTTTCCCCAGGGGCAGAGCAGGATGAACAAGCTCGGCCGCATCCCGGCAGCGTGGGCACGGATCCGTGTGCAGCTGTAAACACCGGCTCAGGTGAAAGGTCCGTGGGGAGCCCCGGCGGGGAGCGGGCAGCCCGGAGAGACGCTCCTCGCCCCATCTCCCCCCCCAGACCCCCGCGGGGCCGTGGAGATGGAGGGGGCCGGGGAGGGGAGGATTCTCCTCACCCCGGGAACGGGCGGCGCCGGGACGGGCGCTGAGCTGCCCGGTCCTGCCCGCTGCTGCCCGCACCCCCGCCGCACCTCCAGCCCCGGGGCCGGGGCACCGCTTCCTCCTCCCGCTCCTCCCCGGCGGGCCC